ATCAATTTCTGAGCCTTGGCAGCACATCAGGAAAACCCTCCTTTGCTAAATATGCACTAATTATCTCAAATTTTTTTGGCCAAAAATAATTATTGATTATTCGCGCAAAAAAGTGCTCATCAGAATAATTATCTCAAATTATTTCACCCCCAAATGTAATATGGGATAATTTGAGATAGATTTCCACAAAACACAAGGGATTTGAACATATCAGAAGAGTGTCTCAAAATACATGTCAATGTCTATTGAAAATATGTACATATTGTGATGCCATCTCGGCTAGACCAGTGCAATCAAATGTCGTTTGCCGCCGCCCGCTACTTGCGCCAGCCGTCACCTGTGCGCCTCCGGCCCCCGACGCCCGCGCCGCCTCAACCGCCGGCCGTCCACTATATCCTGCAGTCACTCACGCCACTGCCGCCGCTGCCGACCGCCCAGCTGACTGCGCCGCCCGCCGCCTGCGCGCCCTCACTGACCTGTGCCGACCGCCGATGTTCCCGCTGTCTGCCCCGCCCGCCGCCGGTGTGCGCGCTGGTGGCGGCAGCGGCGACGGCGGGACGGACATGACGTGACAGGCTCACATGGGCGTGGAAGTGACCGAGGTCTGGTTAACAGGTACGACGAGGCCGAACTTGCAGATGTCACTGTAGGGATTGCAATTGTGGAACGATTGCCCGCCTCTGAGCACCAGACGTACCTTTGTCTTCACATTGCAAAGGGTCTCTCCAAGCCTGCCCTAAAGCCAGCGGGAGTTTTGAACCGACGGCATCTTGTTGTTAGGATCAAACCACCCATATTTGGATTGGATTGACGGCTCCAAACCTGTTCCCGTGATGGGATTCCTGTTTTTGACTGACGGCGTCTTGCTGAAACAATCAAACCATAGCATCCGTATTTTTGAATTTGAAGGCGGAACAAACCCTTGTTTGCCCCTCTCATCTTCTTGCCACCATCTTCCCTCCTACAAACCCAGCAACTTGCGTGGCCGTGCTCAATGTCGATGTCGTCCAGTGTTGCAGTTAAGGGTCTTAATAAGGGTCCGGCCGGAAGTTAAGGCCTTAAGACATGTTAAGGGTTAATTAAGGGTGTCATTTTAAGGTGTAATTAAGGCTTAATTTCCGAAATGGTAATATGAAAATTAGGCCCCTCCAAGGCCGGTGCTTCGTTGCTGTTCTCTGGGGCAAGGATATCCATGCACAAAGCCTCTTCAGAAACCACCTTGGGACGCCGAGCCAGTCTTCTGATCGTGCGTTTGGGTGTGCTGCTGGAGAGATTATCGAGGCTGGGAAGCTACAAATGCACACGGCGGGTGTGCGGAGCAGTGGGAGCAGAAATGGGACCACAGAGGGCCAGCTGGTGGTGCCATTTCGTCGATGGTGAGTGGATCGAGGAAGTTTTTCTCCTAATCACTCTCCGGTGATCCCATCATTAAGCCTTAATAAGGGCTTCACAATTTTCTGGCTGTTGTTAAGACCAACCCTTAGTCTTAACTTAAGGCCTTAAGATGTTAAGGCCTTAACCCTTAACTGCAACACTGATGTCGTCAGTCAACTCTCATGTTCTACATCCTCACTGCCGCTGACATCCACTCCACCCCACAGAGTTCACTCAGTACAACCCAGCGCTCGACTTCTCAGCCACTTTTGCCTGTGTGTGCTATCTTCCGCCCCCTTTTTATTTACATTTCATTCTTATTTTGTGTCCGTCAATGCAGAGGCTGCGTGTGAAGGACGTTACCTCGCCGGCCTCGCTGCTGAGATCTGCCACGGTGTGCGCTAATTTTTTTCTTTTGTACTTTTGTTCTTACTTCGTGTCCGTTGATGCATAAGCTGCGTGTGGTGGACGTTGCCCAGCCGGCCTCGCCGCCGCCTCGATTTCGATGCCCCGTGCAGCCGCCGCCCCACGCACGCTCGTTTTCGACACGCCGCTTCACCGCCCTGCAACGCCCCGCACCACCCACGCACACGTGCGAGGGCTCATTTTTGGCAGCACGGGCGCTGCGCGTCGGGTATGTGCGTCACTTTGCACTGCTCTGCGCCAGCTGACCACATCTTGCAGTATCGCGACGTTGCGTGTGGTTCGCCGCTGCTCGTGGCGGCGCGCTAGAGGATATGGGCACCCACTGCGTGCACTGCACCTGGTACAGGTGTCGCCGAGTCGTTGCGTCCCACTCTATCTTATCTCAATGCACTATACTCGACGTAACCTTCGTCAGATCCGGCTGCATTTGGACTGCATGGTGCCAGGGGACGCTCTTGGGTAGTTTACTATATCATTTGTCGTAGTCTACCTCATGAATATGATTTTTTTCCGCTCTCAACTTTTGAAACGGCATGATAATATTATGAAAATTCTGACCTGCTGAGAGAAGGTCCAATAAATGTCGCCGAATACTCAATAAACCCTCACATATTGGAGATAACTTGAGAATAATTTGAGCAAATCCGAGATAATTTATTTGGGGGGTAAAATAATCGAGATAAAAAAATAATTGTGATAATTGGTGATAATTATCATGCATTGGTGATATTCCACACAAATTTGTGCAAATTAGTGGGGGAGGTTTTTCCTGATGGCGGCTGCTCGGCTCGCGTCCTCGAGTGCGGCAATGGTGGCATGGGTCGGGCTCAGCCATCCAGGCGTGCTGGCAAGCGGGGTCGGATGACGGACGGGCAGCGGAAGGGACATTGCAGGCGAGCGGTCCCGTGTAGAGTGAGGATCGTCAACTTCCCGAAGAGGCGACGGAACAGTGTCCATTCCATGTAAAGGTCGAGTAATGACAACACGCATGCCGGAGCTGTGGCGCGCAGGCTCCAGTTGCGTCATAATTGCTGCCTCATTTTGAGCTTCTTACGGATTCTCAAATTCTATTCGCGCGGTCGGACACGCGACTTCTGAGTTATGGGGACGCGCCGTGCCAGTACTTGACAGGCCGTGGGAGCCGCGCGGTGCACGGGGCCAGGCCCCCGGGCACTCCCTACTAACTCGGTCCGCCCAGTTAGACTGATTTACTTTATGAAAATTGGCGGTTAAGGGTCTGATTTACTCTATCGCGGACCAGTAAAATCGATTTTTCGCCCCAGATCTATTTTTTTAAAAAGTTTTTTGGCGCCCCCGGCCTACTCGTTGCACCTCGCGGACGCTTCGATATCCTCTTCCTGCTGCCCACCGCCGTTTCCTCATAATCCTCTTCTGCGTCTGACCATCTCCATTGGGTTCTAACTCTAAAGCTCGAAAAATAAAAAATCTCGGCCCCTGCCCGATTTACTCTATGGCGGACCGGAAGAGGCCGCTCAGACACTGTTTTACTCTATTTTCTGGACCGGTAAATCCAAAATTTCGCCTTAGATTTACTCTATTCCGGACCGAGTTAGTAGGGAGTGCCCGGGGGCCTACGGGGCCCCTGCCGACGTAATCCCGTAATAGTCCGGCTGTCATTGTCCAACTTTGGATGACGTGTTTTGCCGTGTGTCAGTTATGACAGGCCGTGCGACTCCGACAGGTACACAAGGCCTCCGGCTTCTAAAGAAGAGCACAAAGAGCAGAACGTTTATTGACGAAGAGGACGGGACTGCGTAGGGGAGAGTGTCAAGCTCGTCCCATAGATTGCAGCTTGCGGAGTACAACCCACTACTAGTAGGGGCGTGGTGTGGACAATCTATTGCGCATTGATAGATTCTCAGGACGAGATAGGACCATCTCGAGCAGGCGATGCGGCGCCTGACGCCTTGAAGGCGTTCTGGGGGGGTGAAGGATGTCTACGCTACCTCACCAGACTCAGGCAACCATCTGGTGTTGCCTTCATCGTCTAGTGAGGAGACGCACCCATCCCAGCGGCGTGGGAAATCCAACCATGGTGGTGGTGCGGATCAAAGGGGCCCCCACTTGTAAGTAACTTACTTGCAAGTAACTTGCAATTAACTTACCAGCAACTTGTATCTACACAAGTTAAGGGAGGAACCTCAAGAGTCAAGGACAGTTTCGTACCTGTCGACCTGTACAAACATTGTGTTATTATTTGTGTAAAATATCATATAGTAAGTAAGTAAATAAATAAATGAAGCAATGTTTAGTGTAATTTAAGTTGGAGCTCAGTGCCTCACCCTCCGTGTGTTGCGAACGACGAGTTTCGACGTGGCGGCACGCCCATCACGCGGGCACGTGGTCGGTATAGTGCACGAATACATGTCGCTGTTGAACACATAACCCTTCTGGGTGAAAATCTATACTGCAAAAGTATAGAGGGTCCATGCAATCATGGATAGAGCAAATAAAAACAATAGGTTGGTACATAAAATTCTTCGAGCGCCAGTGCGCAGTGATCGTGGATCACTTACAAGTCTGCCGTGCATTGACCTTGTGACAGGAGACGAAATACTTACAATTTGAGCCGCACACAATAACCGTGCAGCGGAGTTTGAATTAAGTTACTTTCGCGCCCCGTGGGAAATCTTAAGTTAACTTGCGGCATCTCGGCCCGAAGGGGCAAGTAAAGGCCAAGTTACTTTTTGCGCACTCCGCTAATTGTGGTACACGTTTACCCCATCAGCCAGACGTCCCGGGTTCGAACCCCGGCTGGTGGGTTATTTGTTCTTCAAAATTTGTTTTTCTGCAATGGGTGCGGCTAGTCAAAGGTATGAAAGGTTCCCCGTCGCCCGGTAGAGAGGCTCTGGTGGCTGTAACGCATCCAACCTGTTCTGTTCAAATTCTTCATTGAACCAATGATCCCAGGAAAAAGTCCCTGGTTCGATTCCAGGCCAGTGCATTTATTTTTTGCATTTATGCATTTTTTTTTTTGAAACCCGTATTATGTATTCTACTGTAGCATTTCATATCAATTCATTGCACCAGGGCTCCAAACACTGTTCTTCTGCCTATGAGGAATATGTGAAAGGGCCACTGACAAGTCCCACTGCATTCAATTCACGCTAAATGTATACTCTCCTCTCGGAATTTTCTGAGCACGTCCCTAAATTGATCACTCTCTGCAGAGCACCGAAGCAATGGTGGCGTAGTGGTAACGCCTCCACCCTTTGTTGGTACGTTTTGAAGTGCATACATGTGGAAGGTCCCTGGTTCGACTCCAGGCCATTGCATTTCTCTTTTGCCTTTTTGCATTTATTTTTTTGAAACCCGTGTATTATTAGTCTCGTTTCCAGACGTTAGGGCAGTGGCACTGCGCGGGCTCTGAACCGGTCGGAGTGATCCAAGGCAGGTTTTGATGAAAATTTGATGTCGTTGCACTGCCCTATAACGTCTGGTGTACTTTGACCGTAAAGGGTGCGATCGATGTCACGCTCCATCTTTTCCAAGCTCCCATTACTTACCTCCCGAAGCCCCAAAGCCTTCCTCAATTAATTGAGCATGCCAGCCCATCATGTCATGAGTGCTAGCCATGCCCAGGTACTGTAGTATTTGAATCAATTCGGACGCGGGTTTGGGGTGTGACAAGCCTGTCCGAATGTACCAGGGCCCCTGAGAATACACCGGGAGGTATGATACCGCAATCCGGACAAATTTTTGAAAATTTTGCAAAAGCTTTGATTCTAATCCGGACAAAATCGAGCCTCGCCACCGACAACTCAAATTCTCAGTCCGGACAAAAAAAATTAGAGCACAGAGGCTCGGATTCTCGGTCCGGACAAGGTCCGACAGGGCCTGACAAGGACCTGGCGTAATGACGCTTTGCAGAGATGTGTGGCCCACCGTACTTACTAGTACATCAGTCTTTTGACATATCCGTCGCGGAGCTTTTTTGGGCTTCTAGAAGCCCAAAAAAGCCCAAAAAAGCCCCGAAAGCCCCGAACGTCCGAAGTTCACAACTCTAGTCACTTTTGGCACAAGCTGTGGCCCAGAATATCCAAAAAAGCTTGCGACATCAAAACTCGGGGTCAAATATATGTATATTGGGCGTATTTTTGTCTACTAAATAAATAGCAGCTACACGCGTTTTGGGGCTGCGTTTGCAGAATTTTGAGGGGTCTGGTGGCAATCATTCAGCACAATTTGTGCATACCAGTAGGATCTGCCAGTGAACGAAGCTCACCGTTTATGCAGCGGGGCTGCTGGGAATGTACCCGTCGTCGCCGTAGGGGTCGGAGAACGCAGGCGGATTAGCTGAGTCATCCTCGCCATCCTCGACAAGAACGGCCCCTGAACTGGTCAAGATGCTTGACCACCGCGTCCACGTCACGGTGAAGCGGCCGATGGTAGTCACGGCAGCCAGAATTTGCCCACCAGCGCTGTCTGCTGAGAATGTCGGTTGCTGGCCAAGGGGAACAGCACCACTGGCTGCATAGAGCGACAGGCTACGATAAACCTGGGGAGATTCCCGTTAATGAAGATAAACTAAATATAAACTGTACTTACCGCCGCCTTGGCCATCCCTAAAAGACCAGTCGGAAGGTCGTTAGCATTGAACGATCCATCGTTGGCCACATCCGGCATGATGATCTTGACAATTTTGAGGAATGGCGAGAGCGTCATGACCATCAGCTCCGATTCCAGATAGCCAGTGGGCTTCTACGAACAAGGAGTGGGCTTCTACGAACAAGGATCAGAAGTTGAAAATGATTGAAAGTGTGCCGTAAGACGTACAATATATCCCGGCGACTTTGGGCCAACGATACAGGCCTCGGGAGTCGGATCTCTCCAAAACGCAGGGCCGTTATTGCGCAAAGCGTACGCAACAAACGACCGAATAGTTGCGAGGGTATTGAGACCGTGCGTGGCGAAATAACCGGCGACGACAGCATCCGCAGAGCATTTGAAAACCGCCTGATTGAAAGAGCGGATCCGAGTCATTGTTAGCGAGTGCGTCTAAAGCAAAAATATCAACGTACCCGAGCAGCGACTGGGTCCCCCCATTTGAGCTTCCAGGTATTCCCCGGGCATACATCGTCGAGGATTGCCTGAAAGGTGGCCACGGCCGCGTCCGCAGTGAAACGCGATTCCCCATACGCGCCGAATCCCATCGGATCGCGTGAGCGATCCAAAGCCTCGTAGAGCTTGGGCAGTATGTGCGACTCCCAAATCGGTGCAAGGAACGCTGGCAAACCGTTTACGTCCACAGAACTCGCCGGCGTGAATGCTGAAGCGTCCGACGAGGATTCCACTTTGATCGGACGTTGAGGTGTTTGCGTCGAAGGGTTGACCCGTCGGCCCGGCATTTCCGACGACAACTCGACCTTGGTACCATTGCGCGGCTTCGGAGTTGGCTTGAAGCCCAACTCGAGCAACGCGCGAGGCAGTGCAGACGCCGAGGACTCGGAAACTGTGGGCCTGGTCGGAGTCTCGCCCGTGTCGAATCCAACCACCTCGACATTGTTAGTACCAAGAGTGGTCCGAGAAAAGAAAAGCTACCTCGTTGGCGCGCGGCCGTGGTGCAAGAGTCTTGCCTTTGGCGGGGAAAGCAGGTCGTTCGCCACCTGCATGGTCGTCGCTGAGGCCACCTAGAACAGGTTCGTCAACGTTGCTTACTGCCGTTTTGGATGCCGTTGTCGAGAGAGTAGAGAAGCGTTCGGAGATCCCAGCTTTCTTGGAGGCCGCCGCGGCATTGCTGTTGTGTCCAAGTTTGTCAGAACACGTAAGCGTAATCATCTTGCTTCTGACCTGTTCTGAATCGGTAGCGGCGCAAGCGCCGGTCCCCTACTCTAGTCCTACTCTGCTATTTTGCATTCATATTACTTATTGAACTTTTCTAGTAGCTGTTTGGCAAAAGTGATATAGGTCTCTTAGACCTCATATCAATAGCTTCGTATGGGCACTGGTTTTACGGTGACAGACGACAATCTAAGTAATGTAACAGCAGGTAACACGGAGGCACTGCGGTAATAGGCCAAGATCCTTTTACAGATTCGACCAAAATTCGCCCGATTAGAGCCAAACAGCCACTTCGGAATTCGGGCATCGCAGGTGGAGCCTTTACAAAATTCGGGCATCGTCTGGAAGCACCCAGCACCTTGCATCCCATCGGGCTTGTGGCGTAGTTGTCAGTCGACTTCCTATCTACCTTGTGTTTAAAAATATTATCAGTGGCGATCCCGGGAGCTGCTAGTTTTTACCCATTTTGGAAGTCTGATGAAAATTCGGGCAAATTTCGCGATTTTTGAGCAACCTATTCGGGAATTCGGGCAAGTTCGGCCCCTGTTGGGTGCCTCGGGAGATGCGGAACACCCTGCCAAAACGCGTTGCAAAGCACGGGATTCATATGGTGCTTTTTTGATGACCGTTTTTGCCTTTTCCGGTGACGGACCCAGATCACCTTCTCACACTGCCTGAGCGAATACCTCACTGCGACAGTGGATGAAAAATTACATACATAAGATGCCGCATGTGCTGAGTGTTCATACGTAGCCTGTGATGTCTACGAGAAACAAGAAAAATGACAACCTGTATATTTAGAATGGCTCAGCCCTGTGATGGCCGTTGAGCAAGCTACCTAAGGTTTAAAATTAAACGGGGTGGAGCAGGAAGCAGAACTGGCAATCCGGCTCAGTCGGACTCCGCTATCACGGACCTCCGTGATCTGACACACGGATCGGACCTGACATCTGATGAGAACCATGCACCCGCCGTGCCGCGCTACACAACAGCCCGGGCGCGAACGATGTGGTCGCTGGCACGGGCGAGAGCACGAGAAGTTGGTCAAAAAAATACTTACAATGAGGTGGTTCTGCAAATATGTCTAAATAATTGAAATCATGATAGAGACATTATACAAATAGTAGATGAAGAAGAATGACTTATTCCATCACGCTTCTCGCGGGTGCCGTGGTTGCCGCGCATCTCGTGATCCGATCACTGATCGTGTCCATATCGGGAAGCGGTTCACCTCGCGGTTCGCCCTTGGCTCGATCACGTGCCGCGACGCGTCGACGCGCGTTGCCCCTCGCCCGCCATCTAGCGCTTCGTTTGACCTCCCTCTGTGCTCCCGTGCTGCCGAACCACCGAAGACTTCGCGCACCCGCCTGTGTGAGAAGTGCAATCTCTGCGAGCGCATCTTCGGGTCCTTTCGGGTCTCCCGCATGCCTCCACGAGCGAGCAGGCTCACCCATGGCCGAACGCTCGGTTTGCCGCGTCTAGTCGTGCACCGTAATGTGCACAATGTTCACTTGCGTGCACACTGTTAAAGTGCAACTTGAAAAAATCCACAGAGTTTGATTACAGTCTTAGAACCCATCCAGACGAAGATCCGGTTTAGTGTGGTACTGACACTGGCAGATGTCACGTCCTACGTCTATAGGAATCACTTTGGATTGCTGGCAAATAACCTGACTACTCACTGCGTTGGGACCGCGCAGGAAGAGTCCTTCCTTCCAGAGCTGTACCCAAAGTTGCGAGTTCCAGGAGCAACATTTCAGCAATATGCTCTCAACAGTCTCTTATACCACGAAGTCATTATCAACAGCTAGATCTGGGTACTGCCCGGGATGCGTAGTCACGCTCACTGTTCCTCGAATCAGCATTTACTTTTTCATATGACTGGCGACCTTGTGTGCCTTGCGGCGCGTCAGATTATTTGCCGTCGTTGCGTTGAATTTGCTAAGTAGCTACGCAGACATAATGGCCCACGTGTGGCCCTCGGCCTACGCTGTGGTTCTTGGGGTCGACAAAGTGCCATCGACACTGCTCTGCCATCAGCCCAGTGTGCAAGTCGCCGTTGTTGAAGAAATTGATTAGTTTCTTATGAGTTACATACTTCTCAACAACATTCACAGGTGAATGGACATGTGCGAATGCAAGAAAGTAGAAAAAGAAAAAGAAAAAGAAAAATTACATTCATTCAACTGGATACTAGATTCTTTCGAGGTACTCTAGTATTGATTGCCTCAAGTTTTGACAACTTCTCTCTGCTTCAGGATAGACATTGAAGAAGGCCTTCTCATCCGATTTACAGTAAGAATGAGATTTTTCCATCAAGCTAGTTGAACTCGAAGTTACTGAGTTAGGAACTCCGTCCGCGGCTGAGGCGCTTCTTTGCGAATGTCTGCTTCTTCTCGCCTGTCAGCCATCCCTTCGACCAATCCTTGAATCATGTATGCAGGATCTTCCTGCCAATGTTTTAAATTGTGTGCGCAGCCAATTCTTTAAATCG